AGATTTGGAGAATCCAAGATGGAACTCTCGATGTTCTCTTTGTCTGCTCGGATTCCACCCTCTACTCGGTCGATTTTCGTCCTTCTCTCTCTCTCTCTCTCTCTCTCTCTTTGTCCCTCTCTATTTTTTCTCTTCTTCCTCCTACTGTTTGTCCGATGTGATGGCCCACCGAGTTCTATCCTACGCGGACTCCGAAATGACGCCGTTATCATTAAGAACAGTCTTATCGGTCGTAGGGAGTGACCATTATCTCGGAACTGTTCCTGTGCGCGTTTCGACGAAGACGTTCTCCCTCGATATGACCTCATCCGATCTTATAGAAAGTCCTGGTGGTTCCGCGGGAAGTAAAGATCTACAAATGTCCCGCGATATCACAACAATGAAACGTAATCGCGGCTGGGTTACCAGAAAATCGAATTGTATTTCCATCGAAATCATAGGTTGAGGTTTCGCGAATCGCCCCTTGCCATCGTCTCGCGGGAGCCTTCACGGATGGCGCCAGCGAAAAATGGGGTGAGGAAGATGACGAAAGATCGGCATACTGAAAGTGAAAATACAACTAACTTCTTGTTTCTTCTCTTGACTGTTAATCGTAAAGCCTACACGCAGAAAATGTTGTAGCAAAAACTTCAATAATTTTTGTTTTATTCTTAGCTCGAATCATGATCGAGATTTATTTAAAAATATTGTGCATATTTGACTTTTGTTACTACAAAGTTATCATAATTTTTTATTTAAGTTTGAATGTCCTTTTTTATATCGTATATTTGACAAATTATCAAACTTATTAAACGCAGATTAGAACGTTATGCCTTAAAGTATAAGGAAAAGTGTGCATTGACAGAACGCGCTACGGGAACATTTTCACCGGTTGCGATCTGAATGAATTGCTGAAACCTCATAAAAATCAAGCGTAAATGGTTTACCCACAAAAATATAATGACCAGGACGGTCTTCTTTCGTTGCCCTGTTTCGCCGAGCATTCGACCTATCGATCGGCGAAATTCCTTTTTTATTGCCCTTGTCCCTCACTGCGAGCCCCCTCCGTCAGTCGGGGGAAGGTAAACATCGTAAAAAAAAATTTGCGCTCACTGAATGTTTGCTTAGGTCCCGCGAGAGGAATATCATCCGGCGCTACCCGGACAGAGAAAAGTCGCTGAAGTAACTCCGAAGTCATCTGCGCTCGTTTATACGTATCGAGCGCGACCACACATGCGACATGGTTCTCATCGACACGTCGAATAACGAAGTTATATTAATAGAAAACGTGCCCGAGCTCAGCGGAGACGAGATAATGGAATGTCGGTGATCTTGCGGGCCCGAGACGGTCGTGTGTGTATAGTGCGTGCGTTTGTGTGTGTGTGTGTGTGTGTGTGTATGCGAACAAAACGAGGAAGGGAGCGAGCGGGCTCTTTTAATTCGTACGGCATAATTTCGTTGGCGAAATTCCACAGTGTGACGGAGAGTGTGGTGGTGGATCGCGTAAATCCGCGGGCGAATGGCCTTCGGGCTCGCGTCGCGAAAAGCATAACGGAGAATCCCGCAATTCGGATGCTTACGGCGCTCGCGCGGCCCGACGACGAGCGTTAGTGCACGGCCATTGTGATCGACCACGGACGTGCAGCCCGCCGTGAACTTCTAAATTATTACGCAGTTTCGGGATTTAACGGAGCCAATGGCGAAAGGACGCGGCTCGTCTCCGCGAAAAGTCGTAAAGCCGCGCGGGTGTGTGCGCTTAACCGGAAAGCTCCCGGGTTATTTTTCCCCGGCGATTCCTAGCGCGCCGCGCCGCCCCATAGCGCTCCTGAGCGGCATAGCGAGAGGCCGGTTCATCTCCTCCTCCCCCTCCCCTTACTTCCTCCCATCGGGGAAAACAAGGGAAATCAAAATATCTTCTGCGAAACAATTCACCTTCCTCCGGTATAATCGAGAAACTGCGAAAGGTCGACCCGGTTTCCTCGAACTTCCACGACTCGCCGCCGGCACCACACAGCCTCGTAAATGCATTCGCTTCCTGTTTTGCGGTGGGATACACGACGTCACGGGATCAATATTAATGTAACGCACATTATACCATGGGACGCATAAGAAAGGGCGGCTAAGTCCGGCAAAAAATACGAGCTTCTGGTCTACCATCGAATCCGTAAACATCGTCTCCGCAAAATGGGAAAATCCCGCAAACCCCGTTCGCGAATTATTCATGAGTTTGTTTTAGTCGAGTGCTTGAAAATTCATTATTATAATAACCATTAAATATTAACTTTCGTATTTCTTTTGCGACGGAGTGGATTGAATTTAAATGATTCGCGTATCCGTAATGTATCTCTTCATTTACTTCTTAGTATTTTACTGAGAAAAAATGTTGAGAAAAATATTTGTAACTGCAATTTACTTGATAAAAAGTGTTTGTAAACGTAATTATATAGAGAATTAATTACTATAAATTATGACCAATTTTTTATATTAAACCATTTTTTATATTAAATTCTACTTTAAAGTCAGTGATAATAACATTATAGCAATAATAGTAATAATAACATCATATACATGTTATTATACTATCATTTTACTACAAAAAATATGGTTGGGGTAAAAAATAACTGAGAGAAATTATTCGATAAGAAATTAACAAACGGATATTTCCGATCAAAATACCGATCAATTTCTCTCTTTACCAAAACGAATTTACTTTTAAAACTCCATTCTTTATTTCTCACAACTTTTAATTCTAGAACCATAAACATGGATAAATTTTAGTCAGACAAACTTTTTAAACGTTGCCGTTCTTAAAAACATGCTTCGTTTTTCCATTATAACTTTTTCAATTTTATTTAATCGCAAAAACATTAATAGATCCGTATTCCACGAAGTTTTCTGCATCAATTAAAAAAAAGGATTGAATTTTGATAATTTTTCCGAAAGTTATAAGCAAATAAAAATTATCTATGTTTAGGATTAACATTATTTTTCAATATTCTAGGATTAAGCGTATAGGCGTTAGTAGTTTTGCTTTTGCAAAATGAACGTAGAGAACTATTTCTCGGCGGTGGCGTTAAACGCTTTAAATATAGTTCCATTTGCAGCGACGATTAACGTTGTTTTCCTCGAAGATTTTCTGACAGATTAGGTCGACGGGGATAGATCGTTCGTGTCTATATAGAGCCGTGCCGCCGAGGTCAGGATTAGTAAAGTTCAGTCGATGCCGAGGCAAGCCCCAGGGAAGGAGAAACGGTCCCTAAGCGAGTGATAAAATTCCTTTCCAAGTTATATTAACGCCGTTAGTCGTACCCACGGTGCCCCCTGGACGAACTTTAATCGTGAATAATGAAGGAGCCCGGCGGTGATTATTTTTCTCGCAGAAGGGGCGGCATTAGACGCAGCCCTCGAACTTCGGCGCGGAGCCATTTTTTGCAGTTCCCGAAGAATCTTTGTCAGGCGGGAAAATAGACTTGACTTCTTGCTCGTCGTTTGATTCTAGACGTACTTACCGTAAATTATGGCATTAAAGATAACTGTGGCGGCCCTACCTCTCGCCTTTTAATTTTACGACCGCCGTTGCGGAAGTTGTTCTGGCGCAAAAAAAATGGTAGCTTCTCTAATCCATTTAATTCCACATACATAGTTTTAAATTGCGTACTTAACGTAATCATGTTTGCTTCTCAAAATTTACAGTGTCGCACGGGAAAAAATGGTTTAGTTGATTCAGCAACTAGTTTTATGCTTTGCTGGACAAAATTAAACGTTATAACTAAGCAAATTTGCTAGTGCATCAAAGAAATTATATGTGGAAGCAATTACCAATCTGCTCATAGAGTAAATCCATTTTGGTTGATGATATATTGATTATTACAACAAATCATTTCGTATTTCGGACTAATTGAAGTTTACAAAACATTAATTTTACCAAACAAATTGCATAATTAATTCAACAAATAATTTACACACGGACAATAGAACTAATTCAATAAATATTGAAGAGATATGTATTTTTGTTTGTTTTATGGAGAAATGCATTCTCACACATTAAGTCCAAATGCAAATGTCCGTAATGAGAAATATATTATTCTTCGTGTATTCACGTTGCGGAAATTAAGTCATTATGGAACATAAAAAAATCTTTTATGCGAAAAAACTAAAAGAATAAAATATATCAAAGCGCGTATTTATAAAAGCTTTCTTTTCTTGCATCGTTATTTTCTTATTTTAGCTCATTTTAGCTATTTCTACAGTTTTAATAGTATAGAAAATTTTATAAACGCAACTGAAATGGCGTCGCAAAAGGTCTTGATCGATTTCCAGAGAAATCGTTAAGCGAAACCCACTGAATTCAGAGACTGATCATTGTTCCACGCGTTGCTCGCATATAAAGTTCGAAATGTGTCGAAGCTATTTGACGATTATTCGCCTCGCGCGAAAGTGTTTGCACGGAGAGAAGCCGACAGGACGAAGAACCCAAAGGAGACTTAGCCAAAATAGGGCGCTATAATCTCATTTACGGGGTATAGTTGGTGCATAATTCCTCGCAGTGAGCAGCATAACTTTGTACTCTCTCCAAGGAACTGTACCAAACTGGCACAGCCTACGGGAGACCGCCAACTTCGCAAACTCGCGAGTAGTAGCGTTGATGGCGATGCACTTCCCCATATGGGATGCTCGGCGGATAATTTCCGAAGCGTTTGCGGGACTCGCGCGCGATCGCCCTAGGTGCTTGTTGCTCATCGCGAACGGGTCAAGCGTGTTTGCGAGAACGTTTCGTGTTTGGACTCGTGCGTCTCGTAGAATGCGAAATTCCCTTACTCCCTCCCATCGCGACTAATCTCTCTCCTTCTTGCCGTTAAATATCAAAACGATATCACTCGAGCAATCATTCTCTCTTCTATCGCCGCCGTCAAATTAAAGCCGTAGTAGCGCCCATTGCCGCCGTTTCAGCGTGAGTGGCTCGACGGCGGACACTTAAGTCACCAAAGACTCCTAACAAGCCCTCTTGTCTCCTCTTTCAGACATGCTACGAGATGGAGAGGTACCTGAAGGACGAGCCGAAGTTGCAGTCGTACAAAAAACTCCCCACGGAACTGGACACAACGCCTTGGAACCTCTTCAGGGCGCCGCCGATTTCGTGGACAGCTTCCACCGGGACGAACACACAATTCGATCCCCCAATCAAAATGGAGGTGTGTAACCGGATATTTCTAGAATAACATAATTCTGTTACTAATGAATTATTTTTTACAAAAGTCAAATGTTTATTACTCCCGTCATATGTTTATTATTAATTGAATTTTATACCTGTCAAAAACATATAATCGACGTTTTGCATTACAAGATTTCTCGTTAGTTTTTAATATAGATTTAACGTGCTTTTTAACTCAAACATCAAGTCTTTCGGATGACACTATTTGATCATTATTCAACAAAAGAACGATTTCATCGGAAGCGCGACAATCTCCCCTTTGCAACGATTTTTGTTCAAGTCGCTACGACGTCTACAAGTTGAGTTATTGACGTTTGTATCGATCCACGTTCACAGACGGCCAACGTTAAACCTTCGGCCTTTAACGCGCTGTAGGATAGATCGCGGTGCAATACGCGAGTGAAAACCATATTCCAGGAGGTTATTTTGGAAAGTGATATAGTACGCGACAATATGTAGCTATCTTCGCTCCGCGGTTAGACAAGCGTCGTCGTTTCATTCGTAACGTCGTAGCCAATGACACATATACATAGACCAAGCATTCTTAGGGCCGGTTTTTCCAACCTCTTGCTAAGCTAACTAACAGTTAATTCATACGTCTGTCTTTGTTTCTCCTTTAAATTAGATAGAAACAGACATAAGATTTAACTGTTAGTTAGCTTAGCAAGAGGTTGGATAAACCGACCCTTGTACTTCTGCTGTAGCAGCAAGTAAAACCGGAAGTTTAAAACAGAGTGAGAAAGTTGATTTGCCCTTAGTGCTTTCTCATTCTATCGTATAGAAAGAATATGGCTGCTGCCAAGCTGTCAAGTGCTATATATAATTTAGTGCAGAATTAAAAGAATAAAACCGTATATTTTACTTATCTTGACATAAAATTCATATTTATAACATTTTATGCTGTGTATAAATAATCACAGCAATTGCTTTTATCCTGTTCTCATTCTACTGTCACATGAAAAAGGTTAGGTTAGGTTGCTATGGGATATAGTTCTTGGATAAGGTTTAATACTGTAAATAGTTTTATTTAATGCTGTAAGTGCTTCAGAGCGACGAATGCGGCGATCAATCACACTTCTTTATTTAACATTTTAAAGTATTTGCAGTGTTAAACGAACCCTCCTTCTTGACAGTCAATAATATAGAGTGAGAAAGTACTAGGGGCAAATTAACTTTCTCACTCTGTTTTAAACTGCCAACTTCCGACTTTACTTTGCGGACAGAATGCTTAGTCTATATATATATATATATATATATATATATATATATATATATATATATATATATATATATATATATATA